AGATCCTTGGATAAGAGAATCCTATAGAGCTTCAACTAAGAAGTTGAAGTTTTGCATAACTTCATTTTACCTTCATGGTTAATTGTTGAGAAGACAATACACTAGCTTGAGGTTGTTATAGCTTTGAGATTTACTAGATTTACTATGGAGTGTACTTGATGTGATTAGTTTCCAAGTGGGAGATTGTTAAGTATGTGGAGTTTGAAAGGTTATTAGGCCTAACCCATTTACTTATTATTTTCTTATAAATACTCATGTAAATTGTAAACCTAATTAAGTGAATGAGAATTACCAATTAGTACAACCGTGGACATAGGTCATTTTGACTGAACCACGTAAATTCTTTGTGTTCTTGTTATTTACTTTCATCTTATAGTGCATTTGCATTCTCTAACAAAATGGTCTGAACTTAGCTTATTGTAACCAAGATTAATAATGAAGAATCAAATATCTTGAACCAATACTTAAGTATCCGTTTTAGACAATAAAAAGATTTAGTTTTAGTTAAAGTGTATCAACCTTCTCTCCAAGTTCCACCTTAAAGAAAAATAGTATTTACATCTCCGCTAGCAATAACCTTTTGGGTAGTGAAATCCCACAGGAAATATCCTTTCACATTGTTAGCATAGTTTAAGAATTTTCCATTCCTAGATTTTACATCTAGTTTTTTCTTAAACTTTAAAAAAACACATACTTCTTTCTTGATGCAGTACACTCATAATCTCCTAAAGTAATCATCTTCACTAATACAAAATATCTTGGCCCTCCTAGGGATAATACCGGTGATCCCAACATGTCAACATAAACTAAGTCCAACAATCTTTCTTAGAATTGCCCTTTCTTGCCACAATGGTAAATGAGATTCCTTCTTCCTTAAGAATTTGATCCACCATAATTTTGACTCCCACTAGAATCATATTTTGTTGATCTACCTCTCATCATCATCATCATCAAAACCTCTGCATCACTATACTTTTTTATTTGATTCTTCTTCAAGAAAAACTCTAACATCCTTAAAGTGTAAATGTTTATTATATTATTATTCGTTATATTGATGACTAGTTGATCATACAAATCTGGTAAACTCTAAAGTAGATTTTTTACATGCTTATTTTTAATTATGTTAAAATTTTTCTTTACAAGTTGGGCAAACAATGTATTCAAATTATTAATGTGATTTGTTATCAATGTGGACTGACTCATTCAAAGAGTATAAAATTTTCTTTTCAAGAATATTTTTGTATGAAGTGACTTAACCTCGTACAATTTGACGAATGACTCACAAATCTCTTTTATTGTGTCCTTCTCCACAATGTTGAATAAAATCACAATTGTTAATGATAAGTACAAATTTGCTATAGCGTTGTTATTGATTTATATTCGTGATGTTCACATGTATTTCTCAAATTACATATGCATAATTGTCATTTCTTAAAATTGTCTTCATTTTTAGTTTTTACAACAAAAAATTATTTTCGTTAAATTTCTCTATCATATTTTGTTATTATGATTTTAACTAATTTATACATCTTTCACTCGTGAATAATATTGTGTAATAGAACAATACCATAAAAATTAGTACACAAAATAAACTCATATGAAATAAATGTGAAGTCATAAATAAACATACTTAAAGATTAAATTTTTTCTTGTGAGAATTTTTCTTAAACATACACTGTGATATTATAATACTTTATATCAAATAATTAAAATAACTTTTTTATAACATTGAATATTAGATTTATTGTAACCACAAAACATCCTATAATTTTTCTTAAACATTATTATAATATAAAATCAAAATAATAATAATAATAATAATAATAATAATAATATAACTAAGTTACTAAGTAATATTTGTCACATCATCAATGATATATTATGTGACGTACGTCAAACGCATGTCAATAGTCATAACAATATTAATGTTGCATGACACTTTTCGTTAGATAATTTACTTATTTTGATGGTAACTGCGTCGGTGCTACAAGATATTGATTTAGTTATCCAAAAACTTATTTATGAAATTGGATATTGAAGTTAACTATAAGTCTTTCGAATATTGCTTGAGTCTAATTAATGTATTGAAAAAAGAGAGGATAAACTGTATTTTTCATATAATAAAAATGACAAATATTTGTATTTAATATATTTAAAAAATATTTTATCTAATTTTAATATAATATAAATTATTCCATTAAACTTTTAATTATCACCGTTTAAAAATAGTTAAGTTTATATCATATTGAACATTAACTGATATGTATAGTAGTAATGTGTGTATAATTAGAGTTGTGAATTACTGTAAATTCTCGTAGGAATATTTTGTAAACTTTTTATACAAATTTGCAAGAAATAAGTTTTCTATAAATTTAAATTTTTTTAAATTTTTTTTTCCAGAAAATAACTATTTTTATGGTAGGACTTCCGTTGGAGTTTTCTTATATGATTTTTTAGCTATATGAATTATTTCCATAATATTAATACTTAAATCTATAATACATTAGCATACATATCATTCAATGATCTAAGTAATATGAAACATAACAAATTCTCTAACTGTGATTGATGATTAAAAACTGAGTAAAGTAATTAATAATGTACGATAATCAAACAAAATATTTCAATTTTACCAACTTCAAATATTGTTATAATTATTGTATGAAAAACATTAAAAAAATGACTTGTTTGTTTATTGTTTTTAAAAATAGTTTTCAAATTTTTAATTTTTAAAAACTTAAAAACTTGTTTGATAATTATTTTGTTATAACTACTTTTAAAAACCGTTTTATTTTTTAGTTTATAGAATAAATAAAAGATTGATAAAAGGTATATTTTATTTTAATTTTCTGTTTTTTTTCAATGGGTAGAGATGTGTTAAAATAGGCTTAATTTAAGAAATATATAAACAAAATTATGGTTTAAATTGAATCAGATTTATTTAGGTCATGATTTATATGAGCTTGTCTATTAAATTTTAATCGAACTAATATCGTTTTATTAAATATAATTATTATTATTTTAAATAAAAATAAAAATAATATTATTTTATTATATATATATATATATATATATATATATATATATATTATAAATTAATTTAACAGTGGTTCAATTATTCTAAAAGTAAATATCAAAATAAATATCTAATAGTCATTTATTTAAAGATCTTATTATTAAAATTAATTACTAATTTAAATTAATAAAAATAAATAATAAATTTTTAGTATCTTTTATAAATTTGTGTATTAAATCTTAAATAAAAATTAATTTTATTAATAAAACTTAAATTCTTAAAATATAATTTAATTTTTATTTAAATATTTTTTAATAATTAATTTTATATTGATATAATAATATTTTTTTTAATTCAACCATATCAAAATTAGTTCGTTAACTTATAAGCCTAACATAGGTCATATTAAGGTAACAATTTTTATCCTTCTTAAAATATAGATGATCATAAATTTTCTTACTCTGTTTTTAAAGTTCTATTAATTTGTATCCATACTTTTACATAGTTTTAATTTTGAGTTTTTGACATAAATAGTCATGGGTAGGGTTTTACTTCTTCATTGAAAGTTTTTGACATAAATAGTCATGGTAGGGTTTTACTTCTTCATTGAATTAGTTTGAGTCAAAAACTAAAAACACTTATAAATCATATCCATAAAAAAAATATATTTACAGTATTCTATAATATTTATTTTACTTAAAATGTCTAATACGTGTAAACACTAATAATATAATTATCATCATTAATAGCACCCTACCCCTTTTTTACCGCCAAAAGTGATAATCTTACAAGAATATTCACTACTTCAAAGCTATATTCCACCAGAATTGCCACTTTGTTGGCTCAAAAAGCCATATTTAGTCGTCATCTCCCATTTAGATATAGTTTATATTAAGATTCGATCTAGAAAGTAATTTTTGTATTGCTTAGTATAATTGATTTAAAAATTGTTAATTAAATATTTAAATTTTGATGATGATTTTTGTTTTCCAAATTTTATTAATACCCCTTTTTCTTTGATTGCAAAGTGCATCAAGAAAAGAACAATCTCTCATTTTGTTTTAACAGAGTAGGGAAAAATATATTGTTATCTATATTTTTTGTCTTCTTTCATTTGAACATACAGAGAAAAGTAGAGCAAATGGAGAAGAAAAGGACAGAATTTGAGTTGAAAAGTGACCCAATTACTTTAAATGGACCCAACACCAGGATTGTTGTTCGACAACAATTTTAATATAAGGGATCGATCTATCAAAGATATTAATATTATTAATAATATTTCGAGAGTTGTTTTAGGTTTCTAATTAAAAAGATAATACCAAGATGTGTTAGTTCCAATTGGAAAAGACTTTGAATCTCCTCAAACAAGATCAGATGGGAATAATTGTATACAGTTATGAAGTAAAAATAATGGTATTTACTATGGATGCTAATATCATTACTCCCATGTTTAATCTCATGGTGTTAATATTCCTCCTAAACAACCTAGTCAGAAGAATATTCTAGTCAATTCCAAAACAAACATAATAGTATAGTGTTGCAGAATAGTCCTTCAGCATGCTTTTTGACCTCCCACTCACTTTTAATCGAAAAATATATAAAAGAGAATAATAAACCTCATGATAAAAAAAAAAAAAAATATAAAATATATATATATATATATATTTATAATTTGTCAATATTGTTGTGACATCCACCGATATTCGAATATCTATACACTGCACCAAATGACAATAATTAACCATACATGTTCCATGATCATACAAAAATTGAAGAAGCGAGCTCTCAAATAATTCATTGAACAAACTCCAAATCATTTATTTGATAATAAAAGATATCTTATATGGTTAAGTTTGGGATCTCATGGCAAACCTCCAGCCATAACTACATTTTTATTTTTTCCAAAACACGAGATATATAACTTCATCCTGTGAACAAGGAATTAACAGCATACAGAAAACATATTTTCCTCTAAACCAAGAAATCAAGCTTCGGACATTTTTCTACTCCGTGCATTTAAGATTAGTGTACAATTAGTCAAATTTGTAACTATGACCAGAATAATTTCATGAAAAACACCATACAATCCCTCAACAATTTGAAAGAGGATTGAAAAACTAATAAGGTTAATATCACCACTGTGTTTCCTTTTCTTAGCCAAACCCGCAGCTGGATATTCTTGCTTGTCTTCCTTATCATCACTTTTCCTATTTTTGTTCTGCTCCAACTTTCCCTCTTCAGCATGTAATGTATTCACCATTCCCTTATCGTATTTCTTTTTCTTCTTCATTTGTGAGTCCAGGGTACCCCCAATCCCTCCATTTTCACCATTAATATCGTTGCATAGTTTTTTTTCCTATCTCTTTCTGTTGTTCTGTTCCATTTCCATTCTCAACCCCATCCTTATAACTTGCCTGGTGCCTCTTTGCACTTTTCTGTTTCCTTCCCTCTTCCATCCCGGGGTTGAAATCGCCTTCATTACCCCATGCTTTGCCTGACCCAATTTCATTTTGTGCCCCATTAGGTAGCTCTTGCTATCATCTTTTCTATCTCCAAATTTAACAACGCTGTCTCCGTTTTGCAGGTATCCAACTTCCCGCTTCTCCTTTTTCTTCTTATACATCTCACTCTCACCCGCATGTTCTATCTGATACCCAATTGAACTATTAAGTTCTTGACTACATTTTGTGATTGTCTGAGTTGATTTTTCATCGTCCAGACCAGCATTTCCATTGTGAATCTGCCGCCTTGTCAACTCAATAGATTTCACAAATCCAAGGCTGAGCTCCTTGTTAATATCAATAGAATTTTCCACTACCATCCCACTGTCAGTACCAGTCTCTCTTCTGTGCCTTTTGTGCTCTTATGAGAGTGCGAGGACTCGAGCTCCTTGTGGATCTGATTGAGCTCCTTGAAAGACGCAGAGGTCCGATGGAGATATGCATTGATGATAGATGAAGTACCGTTATCAGCAGAGACAAACTTTGAGAGAATTTTTGCAGCTTTTGAAAGTGATACATCTTTCACGGAGACACATTGCCCAGAAATTGTCTTCATTTTTCCTCCCTTGGATTATCACAAGTATACCTAAATTTTAAAAGAAAAAAAAAAGGCGCTGGGGTTAGCAGGACACATTCTAACAAAACACTTAAAATCATAACCTCAAAATTCACTTGCAGCATTTGATAAATAAACCTCAAGAAGTTTCCCACATTGGCCTGCTTTGAGGCGAAGGATGTTTTCTAACATGTTCAACGACGGTATGGTCAAAAACCTGAAAAAGAAAATAATACAGTATAAATTATTGAGCTAGATATGTAATAATGCTTAGGAGTGATTTATATACATTAACTACAAGGGTGTATATTCTTTCATTTTTTTAAGTCTGAACAAGTAAAACTACTTTATTTAGCTATATTTAGGTTAAATTCAGTATTGTGTTCAAACTTGTAAAAATCCATTGCAACCGAACCATAAACAGCATTTTTCATTATAAACCTATCTATTTACCCTAGTAATAAAAAAAAAATCCAGAGCTGTTGTAATCACCAATTTCCAATCATTTTTTACAATTATACTCTCTGATGTCTTTACTGCTGAATGGATGCGACTCTTACACATACATACATACATATATATATATATATATATATATATATATATATTTATTGTTGAATATAGGAAAAACTGTATAGGGTTAATTTCCCTTATGTATTTACCACACATAGGGCAGTGTATTTATAATAAAGAAAGGTACTCCTCAAAAGAGTAACATAATACAAAATAGGGTAAATAAAAGATATTATTTGATATTGTGATTAATAATATCTAACAATATCTCATCAATATCAAATAATATCAACTAATATCTAATCATATCTAACACTCTCCCTCAAGCTGGAGCATACAAATCGTATGTGCCTAGCTTGGTACAAAGATAATCCATCCTAGGTCCCCGTAAAGACTTAGTGAAAATATCTGCTAATTGATCACATGAGTTAACGAACTCGGTCTTGATGTCTCCAGACATAATCTTTTCCGAATAAAATGGCGAGTCAATCTCAATGTGTTTAGTCCTCTCATGAAAAACAGGATTAGAGCTTATATGGAGAGCGGCACGATTGTCACACACTAGTGTCATTTTAGTGACATCTCCAAATTGTAGCTCTTTAAGCAATTGCTTGAGCCAAATAAGTTCACAGGTAGGCGAGGCCATAGCTCTATACTCGCTTCGCACCTGGATCTTGCCACAACACTTTGTTTCTTACTTTTCCATGAGATCAAGTTACCACCAATGGAAACACAATACCCGAGATGTAGATCTTCTATCGGAGGGAGATCCGCCTAATCGACATCCGAATAGCGAGACAACTCTTGTATGATTATGGGAGTCATACACCAAACCTTTTCCAGGAGACTTTTTGATGTACTTCAATATACGGATGATCGCATTCCAATGATCTTGACAAGGAGAATTGAGGAATTGACTCACCACATCGACTTGCAAAGGAAATGTCGAGGCGAGTAACTCGTAAGATAATTTAATTTTCCAACTAATCTTCTATACTTGTTCGGGATCCGACATTGACTCCCCCGATTTTGCAAGAGTTTGGTATTAGGATCCATGGGTGTGTCAACAGGCTTTGAATTCATCAACCCAGTTTCCTCCAAAATATCCAATGCATACTTTCTTTGAGATATAACAATGCCATCGGTAGATTGTGCTACCTCAATACCCAAGAAATATCCGAGTTTGCCAAGATCTTTGGTTTGAAAATGGTGACAAAGGTGTTGTTTCATCCGAGAGATGCCATGATGGTCACTACCTGTAAGAACAATGTCATCGACATACACTATCAAATAGATACATCCAAGCATTCGAGTGACGGTAAAAGACCGAGTGGTCTCGCCTCACTTCTAGTCATGCCAAATTGTTGAACAACGCTACTAAATTTGCCAAACCAGGCCCTAGGAGACTGTTTTAGGCCATATAAAGATTTGCGAAGACGACATACCAATCCGAAGACTCCCCTAAGCAACAAATCCGGAGGTTGCTCCATATAAATCTCTTCTTGCAAATCGCCATTCAAGAAAGCATTTTTGACATCCAGTTGATAAAGAGACCATTGTTGAATAGCGAGCCATGGCAATGAATAAACGAACGAAGCCATCTTTGCCATCTGGAGAGAAAGTATCACCATAATCCAACCCAAAAATTTGGGTATAGCCTTTGGCTACAAGGCGAGCTTTGAGGCGATCAATAGTACCATCAGGACCAACCTTGATAGCGAAGACCCACCTGCAACCAACAACAGATTTTCCGGATGGTAATGGGACAAGCGTCCGGGTTCCACTAGTCCGAAGAGCACCGAGTTCATCTAACATGGCCTGACGCCAACCAGGGTGGGCTAAGGCTTCGGAGACAGATTTAGGAATAGACACGGAAGAAATAGACGAGAGACAGGTATAAAATGGTGAAGAAATTCGATGATAACTTAAAGCGGTATAATGTGGAGAAGGATTACGAGTAGAACGTGTACCTTTACGAAGGGCAATAGGAAGGTCAGACTCTGTGGACGGAACCGGAGGAGGCAGAGTATTTGTCACTGGGAGTGAGTCATGTGGCGTCTGTTGTGGGCGAGGTCTGCGACTATAAACCTGAAGGGGTGGTGGAGGAGGAGGGACTAATGGTGGATGGTCCTCAACATAATGATCAATGAGAACAGGAATGGGAACTGTAGCAGATGGAGACTCAGCAGGTAGGGAAGGGTCCTTAAAGTAAAAGGAAAACTCATTGAAGGTGACATCGGCAGACACAAAATAACGATTAAGAGAAGGAGAAAAACACTTGTATCCTTTTTGGGATCGAGTAAATCCTAAGAAAACACATTTGTGTGACCGAGGAGATAACTTATCATGACCGGGATCAAAATTGTGGACAAAACAGGTAGATCCAAAAACCTTCAGAGGTAAAGGATGGAGAGTGTCATGAGGAAATAAAATAGAATGGGGAATTTTGTTATCTAAAACCGAAGAGGGCATACGATTAATAAGATAACAGGCAGTAAGAACAGCATCACCCCAAAAATGTTGAGGAACCTCACCATGAATTAAAAGAGTACGGGTTGTTTCAATAAGGTGTCTATTCTTGCGCTCAGCTACCCCATTTTGTTGAGGGGTATAAGCACAAGAAGTTTGATGAAGAATGCCATGAGAAGCCATAAATTGTTTAAACGAGTTTGAAAGATATTCACGGCCATTATCACTTCGAAAAGTTTGAATAGAGACACCAAATTGATTTTTAATTTCATGATAAAAGTTTTGGAATATAGAAAACAACTCAGAACGATTTTTCATTAAAAATAACCAAGTACAACGAGAGAAATCATCAATAAAAGTAACAAAATATTGAAAACCTAAATTAGACTTAACACGACTGGGTCCCCAAATGTCAGAGTGGACTAAGGCAAAGGGGGATGAAGCACGCTGGGAAACACTACGAGAAAAGGAAGTACGACTATGTTTGCCTAACTGACAGGACTCACACACCAAATTGGACAACTGGGATAAGCTGGGAACAAGTTGCTGTAATTTTCGCAGACTTGGGTGACCAAGCTGAGCATGAAGGAGAGAAGGAGACTCCATAACTGTGCCAACATGTGGAGAGGGTTGAAGATAATAAAGTCCATGTGACTCACATCCGGTGCCAATCACTCTTTGCGAGCTCCGGTCCTGTAGGGAAACAGAAGTTTTGGTAAAAGAGATAACACAATCAAGAGATCGAGTTAGACGGCTAATGGATAATAAGTTAAAGGGGGACCCGGGTACATACAAAACATTATCAATGGACAACAAGGGAAAAAGAGTAACCGTTCCAACACCATGAACTAAAGTTGTAGACCCATTAGCCATTGTAACAGAGGGTAAATTATGAGAAGAAGTGAAAGAGGAAAATAAGGATTTGTTACCAGTGATGTGATCGGTGGCGCCTGAGTCAAGAACCCAAGAGCCAATAGAAGAAGAGTGAGTCAGACCAGCAAAAGATGTACCTATGTGGGCAACAGAAGTAGTGGAACTGGAGGGCTTTCGATCCTCATACCATTGAAGAAAATCATTGAAGATAGCAGATTTGTCTGAAGGTACAGACGAAGGAGGATCCACAGCAGAGGATTGTGCGGAAGAATCAGTCTGAGCAACTGCAGTAGATCGGCGAGGATAACCATGTAAAGCATAACATTTGTCAATTTTGTGGCCTAGTTTGCCACAATGGTCACACTTGACACGCCCTTTGCCTGGCTTGTGAGAGCGATTACGATCATCACGGTGAGAGGCCAAGGCAGATGAATCATTAGAAACTACAGGGGGAATATTTAGAGGTTTACATGGCACCCGCAAAAGGGAGGAACTGGTAGCGGTAAACTGGGTGTAACAGGGGAACCCAAAATCCGGTCACGAACAGGGCATATTTATCGAGCAAGTCCGTGTAACATCAAAACCATGAAAAACTTTGATTGTTGCTCTAATTCTTGGGCAGGAGTCGAGGCAGGGGGTAATAACTCATTAAATTCATGGAGAAGAGCATGGATCTTACCCACATAATCCGCCACAGGATCCTTATCTCGAGGAGCAATAACATCAAGAAGATTGTAACAAACACCATAAAGACGTTGAGTGTCATTGGTGTATAATAATTTGGCTTGTTCCCAAACGTCATAACATGTGCCATACGATCTAAAAATTTGTTTTAAAGAAGATTGGATGGTATTCTTGAGAACCATACATATATGAGCATCAACTTTCTTCCAACGGACACGATCATTGGAAGGAACATCATCTACCTTGGTAGTAAGATAATCAATATACCCCTGACTCTCAAGCCAAAGTCTAATATCAGATGCCCAAGTTGCATAATTCGTACCATCTAATTTATCAATGGGTAAATTCACATTGACATAATTAGTAAAAACAGATTGCTCAGACCCACCGGAGCTAACAGAGGTAACTTCAGAATTGGAAGTGGCAGCGGAAGATGCCATGGAGGAAGGGAGAGAAAAACCCTAAAACACCAAAGAGGTCCGATTGGAGCAGCGAGGACAGATCCAGAGAGAGGAGAAGGAGGCGACGCCAGCGCAAAGGGTGGCGGCCTGAACGGCGGCGAGACGCGCCGCCACGCGCGGCGGAACGGGAGAAGGTGGCGCGGCTTCGGGAGGCGCGTGGTTGCTCCGATGACCGCGAAACTTCCACGGTGGAGGTTGCACGGAGGAGGCGAGCAAAACCCTGTGCTCGGCGGTCCGAACTACTACTCCGGCGACGGCGGTGGCGGCGGCAGCGGACGGCGGTGGCGGCGATGGCTGCAGGTTCAGTGGCAGAGCCGAAAAAACATCCCAAGAGACCTTAAGCTCATGATACCATGTTGAATATAGGAAAAACTGTATAGGGTTAATTTTCCTTATGTATTTACCACATATAGGACAGTGTATTTATAATAAAGAAAGGTACTCCTCAAAAGAGTAACAGAATACAAAATAGGGTAAATAAAAGATATTATTTGATATTGTGATTAACAATATCTAACAATATCTCAACAATATCAAATAATATCAACTAATATCTAATCATATCTAACATATATATATATATATATATATATATATATATATATATATATATATATATATTGATTTAATATTGAGAGAATTGGTAAAGAAAAAGGATCTACATTTCTTTGGTTGTAGAGTGGTGTTGCTTACCGAAATATGAGTAAAAGTTCCCATCTTGTTGTCTTGGGAGTTTTGTGGTTTTTGCCCAGGATTATTATTCTGTTTTCATTTCATCTGTAGTCAGAGTGAAATCTTGAATGTGTCTTTTGTTTGTGAGGTTAGTGTTGAAAATTGGGGATTTTTATTTAAAACCTCGATGGCTTTGAATTTGGCATCTCTGAATTTGCACTCATGGCTTGATTTTGTGAGGTACTGTCTGTGTATGACAGTCTTACGGCACCTAGTCCTTTTGAAGGATTATTAGGCGTAAGACTGTAAATTTTGTTTGAGGGAAGACCAAAGTGACATTTCCTAGTAGATTCTAAACTGATATTTGGCCATGATTTCAGGAAAATTTCTCTTCTAGTCACGTAGTAGCTATTAATTGACATTAAAATCCCATCTAATATTTTCTAGAAGCCAAAAAAAAAAGATGTGCTATTATGTCTGCATGATTGTGTAGAAACAGGGAAAAATACTGGTAAGGATGGGATTTGGATTGTAATACTGATGTCATCATTTAAGCCTTACATTACATAGCACTTACATAGAAAAACAATTTACTGGTGTTTTTGCATGGATTGGTGACTATCGTTCAAACTAATCAAAATCCATTCAGGTACCTATACCTACACATGACACAATTCCAAACAAATAATGCACCATGAATACATATGTCTTTCACCCAAAATATCCTACACCTTGCTAAGACTAATTGGAGTGGAGTCTACATAACATAAATGCTGCTTTGACAAAACAAACTTTAACTACATGAGAATGAATCTGTACATTAATCAATCGGCCAGATTATGCATCAAAATGCCTAATCGTAGCGGAAAAACCAAACACACAAAATGCCTATCCTTAAAGGAAAACACCATGAATGACGAACTCACAGAAAAATCCAGAATGTCACACGAAGGAATTCTCGGGCAAAAAACAAACACAATAACTAAGATTGATCAAAGCAACATTGCGTGAGTAATAGAAGATGGAGATCGCGTGTTATAAGGCAAAGATAAGAGAAAAAAAAAAAATCTCGTACCTCGAACTATTTCCTACGGCTGCAACCACTGAACGGCGGGAGCAGAGACGACGACAAGAAAACAGCGGCAGCGACAACTTGAACGGCAATAGCGGCGAGCGAGTGCACAGATGAGTTAGAATGAGGAAGAAGATAAAAATTCGATTTTTTTCATTACATTAAAAGAAATATTAATATTAATTAGTAAAATTAATATTATATCTTAATAGAAATTAGAGTTAAGGGGGCGGGAGTTGGGATCTGTGAATAGAAATTTGAATTGAAGACTTGAGTGAAATTGGGTAAAATAGGTTTCGATGCTCAATTAGTCCATTTTTGGGATTTCTATCCTCTCATATATCTTGTTTTTCTTATTCAATTATTTTTAATTTTTTAACAATTGAGTTACCACCTTTATATCATATTTAAGACCCACTTAAAGTATTAAAATATTTATCTAAAACATCAATTATAATTATGTTTTTTAAATGAATTATCTTTTTAATATTTATTTCACATTTTTTTTATGAGAATCAATAAAAGATAATGATAATTATTCTAATTAATATATTTTTCTAATTGTTTATTCTCTTCTTAATGTTGAAAAACTTATTCATCAACCTTAAAATTGACAAATTGAGTTGTAAAATAATTTTTAACCAATTATTCAAAATACTTGTTAATGGAATTCATATCTAACATATATTCTTAATCTTCTATGATGAACCATTAAAATTCACTTTGAAGTCTAATTAGAACACATCCAAAAAATTCCTCCAATGAGAAACATTTTATTGATAACCCAAAGATTTATGCAAATTTATATTACAATATGTATAATTGCATAACAGCAATAATGATTAAAAAACTAAATCTCATGACTAATAATTTTGAAATCAACTTTAAATACTTTAATAATTTTGTAATTTTGTTTTGTATATGAACACATATTACAAAATGTACAACATGAATTTCAAATAATACACAATACTCATTAAAATTGTGAGATATAATTTCACCATCATTATACAAGAAAATTTTCTTAATTTGAAAATGAGCTTTATCAAATTATTTGAGTTAATAACTTCATAAAGTGTGAATAGATAAAATAAATGTATGATATCTAATTAATGCATCTATTAAAATCACGAAATATATAAATGATCCAGGTGACTATTATTCACACATCACCTTATAACAATTCCAAAAATATAATAAATTTATTCCTCTTTTTCAACTTTCTAATAATGATGATACCATTAACTTCTTTTGCAAATATGTACTACATGATAAATCATTGGACTTAAGAAAATTGTATGTCTTAAATGAATGTTTTTAGATATTATTTACATCGTGACAAGCTTGTATTGATTAATCACTCATGTCAAATGACAAATTTATTTTGATTTGCAAACTTCTGATTTACCCTAACCTGTGTTTCAATTATATATATATATATATATATATATATATATATATATATATATATATATATATATATATATATATATATATATATAGAGAGAGAGAGAGAGAGAGAGAGAGAGAGAGAGTACAAACCATAAAAGTATAATAATTTAAATATATTTATTTTATTGTAGAAATATGTAAGAATTTATCTTAAAATATATTTTTATTAGATATAAGATAAATATGTACAAGTCAAATATAATCAATTAAACAAATTTTGAAAAATATTAAACTAGATTCATATAAGTTGAGAAAATATATTTTCTAGGTTATTTTGATTACTTTGGTGTCTTCATTTAAGTTAATCAAAATATTTAAGAATAGTTATAAATTTAACTTATCATTAACTACGTAACAATATCTATTTCAATGAAAAACTTGATAAATTTTATTATATTTTTGAAGAATAAAATATATTTTTAAGTTCAAATTTTACACAATTTGGTAACAATATTTGTTTCATTGCCAGTTATAATTGTAATACTAACTTCTCATATTATAAAAACTTTCGAGAATTATGTAATAATTATTGTAATATTCACTATTATATTAGTAATTCTAAAACAATAGTATCAGGAAGAAAATGAATATTCAAATATAATTATCCTTTTACAAAATATATATTATAATAAAATATTATAGAACAATTAAAAAATAAAGTCTTATTGAACATAACACATTTATTGGATATATCAAAGATGTGAATTAAATTATTGAAAAAATAATTTTAAATACAAAAATATAATCCAATAGTAAATAATAAATAACTTAAGTAAAGCAGAAAATAAAACACAATTGAAAAAATGATTATTACATGTATTTGATTACCATAATTTAAAATTTTAAAATATTTTGAATTCAAATAATCTTAAAAAAATAATTCAATAATAATATTAAAGCATTAATAACATGAAATATTATTTTAGACATAAATATATAAAATATTTTTTTAATAAAAATAAATATTTCTTAATGCTTTTTTCTCAGGATGTGATCAACTGTTTCATATCTAATTGAGTAAAATATAATTTATCATAAATATTAATATGAATTCATTAGAATCATAAAAAGTTATACACTATCAACTAAATAGACATAAAATTTTCATACCAATTATTTCAAAAGTCACACATGTTATCATATGTTACAAACTATGATAATTGGTGATTGATCTACACAATCTACAAGCTGACTATTACGATCAATATTTTGAATGCAGGAACATTTGTAAGAGTACATGGAACCATTATAGTTCAACAGCCTAGACTATAGTGTAACCAATCGTACAAGTACAAATCCCTCAACAATTTGAAAAAGGATTAAACAACTACCGAAGTTATAAAACACCTAAATTTCAATATCACCGCTGTGTTTCCTTTTAATTTTCTTTTTAGCCAAACTCGCAGTTGGATATTCTGGTTTGTCTTCCATATCAGAACTTTTCCTATTCTTGCTCTGCTCCAACTTTTCTTCCTCATCAGCATATAATGCATTCTCCAATCCTTTCTTGTATTTCTTTTTCTTCTCCAATCCAATAGAACCATTAAGTTCTTGCCTACATTTGATAATTGTCTGAGTTGATTTTTCATCATCTAGAGCAGCAATCCCATTGTCAGTCTGCTGCTTTCTCAACTCAATAGATTTCACATGTCCAAGGCTAAGCGCCGGTTTAACAATCTCTCCTCTGTGCCTTTTATACTTCTTATGAGACTGGGACGATTCAAGCTCCTTGTGGATTTGATTGAGCTCTGTGAAAGAAGCAGAGGCCCGATGGAGATATGCATTGATTATGTGTGAAGTACCATTATCAGCAGAGACAAACTTTGATAGAATTTTTGCAGCTTTTGAAAGTGATACATCTTTCACCGAAAGACAATGGCCAGAAATTGTCTTCATCTTACTCCCCTTTGACCTTCACACATATACCTAAATTTTAAAAGATAAAGAAGTAGGTTCAGCATAGCGCATTCTAACAAAACACTCAAAATCACAACTTCAAAAATCACACATCATTTGGCAAAACCTAACAACCAATTCATTAACAGAACAATTACAACGAAGCACAAATTCTAATTCCTAAAACACATGTGTACTCAAAACCAGGTAAAACTGTAGAATCTGAAATCAAAAGCTTACCTAAGAGCCAGATATTAACGCTAATAACCACTTCGATATTCACGTGGCAAACGAAAACATGGAGATTCCAGCGAAACTATGAGAGAGAAAGTCGAAAGTGAGCTTACAGAGAGAAGTTTCGTTCAGGTTTCGGAGAAGGTTGAAAGTGTGCTTTAGAGAGAGAAAGAGAGAACTTTTGTTTGGGTTTAGGGTTTCTATCTCACTATTTCAATTAATTTTTTATTTTTATCGTCTTCACTCCCCTCCTTTTTGCTATTTTATATTTTTCTTCAGTTAAATAATCTCTCTCGTTGGAAATCCATAATTTTAGTATAAACTTTTCAAAATTAAAAATAAAATTTTGATTTTTTTTAGCTTTTTTTTTGTATTTTAATTTACCTTCTTTATATAGTCATGTGGTATTTTGTTGCAAAACATCATTGAAGATAAATAATTAAAGTTATTATCATACATTTACATAAAATAGTGAAGATAAATAATTATATTATAATTTTAAAAATATATCAATCCATTTAAAAATAAATAATATGTAATATTATTATTAATTTAAATTAATATTTTTGTTAGTATTAAATTGATAATTTAAAATTGTAATTAATTTAAGTATTCGATATTATTAATAAAAGTTTACAAATAAACAATTTTATTAAATATTTTTAAAGAAACTTAAACATTTTTAATATTAATAATTAATATCATTAAATATATTTTGAAATAAAATACTAAATTTAAATTGTAATCTAATAATTAAAAATACTAATAAGAAATTTAAATAACATTTTTATAGTGTATATAATTTATTAAATTATTAATATTGTTATTTTTAATATAAAAAAATCATATTTGATATTAACAATTAAAATCTAATCTAATCAAATAGGAAAAAAATAAATAAACCTATGAAAAGTAGGAATATAATAGTTGAGAGTGTTTTGTTAGATATTTCAATATTTTTGAAGTGTATTATGAAAATTATAATTATTGTCTTTCTTATTAGTTTACAAGATCAAATATATTAAAAATAAATAAAAATTATTATATACATTATATTTATCTGGACGTCTTTATCTTATTTTAGATCTTATTTTGTTTTATATATAAAATCTCTTAAAAAATATTTTATCTTATTTTTAAGCAGTATGTTATTTTAGAATATTATATAATATTTGCAGGTCCTCCCATAAATTATAATTTAATATTTTTTATACGTATTTTTAAATTATTAATTCATTAAATTTTAAATTTTGAAAAATAAGAAAAAAAATGAACTATTTTATATCATATTTATAAATAGAAATAATAGGTTTTTTTTTTCGTCTTTTTTTAACCCCTTCCAACATCGTTTATAAAAAACATTTAAAAAAAATATTTTTTAAATACTTAGAAGAACTTGGAAGTTTTTATGGAAGAACTCATTTTCCTAGATATTTTCCCTCCTTCCCTACTCCATGATTTTGGAATTTTTACATCTTATTTTCAAGATGTTGACTAAAGATCCTTTAATCTTATTTCATACTTTTTTTAGAAAAATATAGAAAATATCTTTTTAAATTTTAAATTAAAAAATTATAAATTTTTATAACTAAAAATTTAATTATCATTATTAATAGCACCGACTCCTTTTTTATACGTGTAAAACACTAATAATAAAATTATCATCATTAAAAAGATAATCTTATAAAAATTTTCACTGCTTCAAATTACATTCCACCAGAATTGCCATTTTCTTGGCTTAAAAACCCATCGCATTTAGATAGTTTGTATTAAGCTTTGACCGAGAAAGTATTTTTTATTATTATTTAGTTTAATTGATTTAAAAATTATTAAATAATTAAATTTTAATTATAATTTTTTTCCAAATTTTATTAATATATATATATATATATATTGCCAAAAAAATAATACAATAAATAATAAATAAAACATTATGTGTGAATCAATTTTGATAATGAATTATTTGATTCAAATTCTACTGAATGAGAAAAAGAGAGAAATCTAGTTACGAAGAAACTCTGATACTTAACTTGGTATCTAAATATCAAATTATACCATAATATTAAATAGTATAATTTATAAATTTTTAACAATATTATTAAATTTTTTAATAATATTATTTTAAGTAATAAATGATACTTGTTAATGTTGATTATTATGCATTTAATGTATTTAATATAATATCAAGTGAGAATATTTTTTATGCATTGTTGTTGTAATATGCATCTAATAGAATTATTTTGAGGGAATATTTTTGTTAGGATAATAAATGTAATAAATTTAATAATTTGGGTAGGTACACAAACTCCCCAAGCTTAGAATATGAAGATGAATAAGTTTTTTTTTTTCTAGCCGAGTTCATAAAGTGTCGAGTTATACTTGGAATTACTGAGCTACCCAGTTATATATGAGTTGAATCATTTATTGGGCTTAAACTATTTTTGGGAACATTTTCACCTTCTCCAAATGATTTCTGACATGTATTAACGAGGGGTTTTGGCAACACGATCACTTTGTCATTGTGTTTTTCTCCTCGATTAGCATGTTTGAGATTAGATAAATATCTCGATTTCGACTTTCTTCTTAATTGTGCCATTTGATATGAATCTTTCTTCTTCAAATTTCCTCTACGACTATTTCATGTTTCTTTCAAACCTTCTCTGGGTACGTTTTAACTCTTAGAAATTCTTTATCATACTTCTACTTCTAGTTTTTATGGTGATTCTAGTAGTTCAGTTGATGTTGAGCCTTTGGTGATTCTAATGCTCAATATATTTTCCTTAAAGCTTGTTTTTTTATTAATTGTGTATATGTGAAGTCTACTTTAAATTACGAAAGAATTTATTTTTGCATATAAGTATCTATTTTAAGATTTGAATATTCTTCTCCTTCCACTAATGTCGAATATGATATATTATTTATTCTTTATGTTAGACCTAGTTAGTTTCATCCTAATAGTTGGACTTTTTTAAAAGTCTTTCCATTCTTATGTAATGTTCTAAATTTTTCACCTAATGTGAACAAGTTTCTAAATTTTTATCAATTGAAACATGGTTCTAAGATTGATTAGCTATCTCTGAATGGTTCTCAACATGGTGGTTTGTTCTCCTCTTTTAAAAATTTAAAGAGTTGTTTCTTTAAGGTTAAGTATGCACAAGAAAACCCTTCTCAACGACTTTTCTTCCATTCTAACCATAAACCTTGGTTTCCTTTAGAATGGAAAGTTCCTCACAAGTTTAAACCTCGTGTCAAACATTAACTTTCTCCTAAAGATAAAGAAGGCATAAAAATTTTGTCAAGTCTTGCTCATCCAATTAAATTGTAAAGATTTGTTGTTCATTTCTTTTGTCGAGGATTCTAAAGCTCGATTTTTGGGTAAGATATGCTCTATTTCAAATTTTGTGATTAAAATTTTATATTTTCTTATTAATTTCTTTTAGTACAAAAATTATGACTTCTAAATTTGATTATAAGAAGGCTCGAACCAAAGTTGGTGAAATCTCTATAGCTTGGAAACCTATTAAAGGAGTTGGCCGTGCTCCTAAAAGATTGAAGATTATAAATGTTGAGAAGTCGGTTCCAACTATAAATGCTCGTCAATCAATTCCAAAATTTGATCCTGATTTTGATTCTAACAATCAAACATAAACATTATCTCATACTCATAAACATGATGTAGAATGAATGCGAAAGCGTACCTGAATTAGTCATAATGATGATGTCCCTTTTATAGCACTATTAATCTTATGGTCTTCCACCTGAAAAGCACCTTTATTCCCTCTGGATTTTCTCTCTTGATGGGGATAAAAAGAAAGGAATGGGAACTGAGACTTACGTTCTATGTGTGTGCTCTCTCTCAGAAGGGGAGTATGACCCTTTAAATAACCAGAATTAGATTAATTACTTAAGTTTTAGCATTTTTAATTTGACCCCTCATAAAATTAGAAATTGCTATATGGTTTCTACACAATTTTATTTACATGACATATGCCTTTAACCAAAATTTTAATTTAGTCAAATCATATTATTATTTGGCTTAATAAATAATGACCCTAACACATTTAAATTATATATCATATATATATATGACCCAAAATTTGCCAACAATCTCCCACTGATCACAAATATATATGCCCTTACAACCTTACAAATGAGTTAGATTTTATGAGCTCAAAATTGCCATTATATTTTTTTAGCATACTCCAAAAGTCTCGTCTATTGATCATATCAAGATATAGAACCAAACTAGCTTTCCATTGCATCATCACAACTAAAACCAACAATGATTACTAATCTTGACATAACCAAATGACATGAATTCATCATGAAACGTGTAACACAAAAAATTATGTGAAGGTGATCTGTATACGTCTATTTTCAACTGGTCCAAACTTTAACTTATCGAGATCGATATAATAACTTTAATGTACAAAGTGTAATGATTGAACAAAAAATCGCATATCTATAGATAACCAAATATGTCCAAAAATCAATGTATACATACATGAAATTAAACATAGAACATAAAATATATGAAAATGACTAACTCCCACTAAACCACAAATTTCTCAAACTGTAAAACACCCATGTGAGTAACATGCTCATGAAAGACCTTGGGCGGAAGTTCTTTAGTTAGAGATTTGCTATCATGGAGGTTGTCCCAAATTGTTTTATAGAAATCTGTCTACTCTGTACTCTTTCCATAACAACTAGGAACTTAATGTCGATGTACTTTGACTTAGTCGAGCTCCTATTGTTGTTGGAATACAATATAGCTGATTTGTTGTCACAATATAACTTAAGTAGTCTTTCAATGCATTTCATAATTTGCAGCCCCGTGACTAAATTTCTTAGCATATTCCATGATTTGATGTCTCATATCATGCTACAAATTCTGTTGCCATAGTGAATGAGGCTGTAAGGGTTTGTTTGAGACTGCACCAAGAAACCGCACCACCTGCCAACATAAAAATGTAACCTGAAATGAATTTCAAACTATCTTGACATCCTGCAAAGTCCGAGTCAGAAAACCCAGCGATCTCCAACTGGTCTGACCTCCTGTATGTGAGCATATAATCTTTTGTTCTCTTTAAATATCTCATGACCCTTTTTGCTGCTTTCCAATGGTCCATTCCTGGATTGCTTAAATATTTGCCTAGAACCCCAACTATGTATGTTATGTTTGGACGCGTACATACTTGGACATACATCAAACTCCCTACAACTGATGCATAGGGAATCTTCTGCATTTCCTCAATTTCCAAATTCCCCTTTGGGCACTGATTGAGACTAAATTTGTCTCCCTTAGCAACTGGAGTATCCCCAAATTTACATTCATGTATGCCAAAACTTTTAAGAATTTTTTCGATATAGCTCATTTGTGATAATCCTAAAATATCCCAAGATCAATCTCGGCATATCTGAATTTCTAATAGAAAAGAGACATCACCAAGATCTTTCATTTCGAAATTTTTTGATAAATTTTTTTTGGTTTCATGCAATATGTCTATATTATTTGTGGCAAGTAGAATGTCATTAACATACAAGATAAAAAAAATATACTTGCTTCCCTTAAACTTGTGATACACACAATCATCAACAATATTCATCTTGAAGCCAAATGAGATAATTACTTGATAAAATTTGTAGTACTATTGACGAGATGTTTGTTTTAGTCCATAAATGGATTTTGTCAGTTTTCAAACCATATTCTTTAGATCTCCCTGCACAAAATTTTCTGGTTGTACCATATAAATTGTCTCATCAATGTTGTCATTGAGAAATGTCATCTTGACATCTATTTGATGAAGCTCCAAATCATAATGTGCTACAAGAGTCATGATTATCCTAAAAGAGTCTTTCGATGAAACTGGAGAGAAAGTCTCTTTAAAGTCAATCCCTTCCTTTTGGGTATAACTCTTAGCTACCAGACGAGCCTTATACCTTTTCACATTACCTTTAAAATCCCATTTGGTCTTAAATATCCACTTGCAACCAATGAGTTTCATACCTTCTGGTAATAGGACAAGTTCCCAAACCTTGTTGTCATGCATGGACTTATACTCCTCTTTCATTGCTTCAATCCACTTTTCAGAGTTAGAACCTTGCATAGCTTGACGGAAGTTAACTGAGTCATCTTCCATCATATCATTGTTTTCCTCATGTTCCTGAAGAAATACCATGTATGCATTGGTTCATGATGCATAGGTTTTTGAGGATCTTGAGTTTGTTCTTCATGAACAACCAAATCATCTTGATTAAGGGATTCATCAATAATGCCTTGTGGAGGTTCCGAACTTACTTTATCAAAAGTAATTATTTGAATCGGTTTTGGAATTGTTACCGATTCTTCTTCCAAGACAAAGTTCCTAATTTTATTCTTCTCCCCAAACTCAATATCCTCAAAGAACGTTCCCATCTCAAAAATTGTCTTTAATGTTTGATCATAAAATTTATATCTGCTAGATTTTTCAGCATAACCAATAAAATAACTACTTACTGTTCGAAAGTCTAATTTCTTTTCATTTGGCTTATAAGTCCTTGCCTCAGCTGGATAACCCCACACATGGAAATGCTTCAGACTAGGCTGTCGCCCAGTCCAAAGCTCATAAAGTGTTTTGGTAGTTGCTTTAATTGGTACTCTGTTTAGAATATAAGATATCGTCTTTAGTGCCTCTCCCCAGAGTGACTCTGATAAGGTAGAATGACAAATCATACTCCTGACCATATCTTTAAGAGTCTGGTTTCATCTTTCAGCTACACCATTCATACTAGGTGATCCCGACATGGTATACTATGGGACAATTCCACACTCCTCTAGGTACCTGGCAAAAGGTCCTGGATGCTGTTCACCTGACCCATCAAATCTGCCATAGTACTCACCACCACAGTCAGATCTGACAGACTTAATTCTTTTGTTGAGTTGATTTTCAACTTCAGCTTTAAATGTTTTGAACACGTCTAGAGATTGTGACTTTTCATGTATAAGAAATAAGTATGCATATCGTGAGTAATCGTCTATGAATGATATAAAGTATTGTTGACCATTCCACAAAGGTGTAGTAGGAAATGGCCCACAAATGTCCGTATGTATCAACTCTAAGACGTCTATAACTCTATATGCACCTAATCTCTTCGCTCTGGTCTGTTTGCCCTTAATGCATTCAACACAAACATCAAAGTTTGTGAAATCAACTCTATTTTTAGAGATGTGACCTAAGTGCTTGTGCCATAATGCTCCTGAGTGAGTATTGTCAATTTTATGTTAGTACCCCGTGATTCTGTATTAAGAGTTTCATTACAGGTGGTCACAGTATCAAGTAAATACATATTATCATAAGGAAAAGTGAACCAGTTCCAACAATATCTGAATTAAAAGACAAACTGAACTTATTATTTTCAAATGAACACAAATAACCTACTTTGTCCAAATAAGAAACTGAAACCAAACTTCGTCTAAATGACGGTACAACAAAAGTGTCTTTCAAATCCAAATAAAAATCAGTACTCAATAACAATTTAAAATGCTCTATAGCTTCCACCTCTACCGATTTGCCTTCTCCAACATATATCCATCTTTCATATTCAATTGGCTTCCAGTAGCTTTGTCAACCCTTCATAGAAACACTGATGTTAGTAGTTGTACCTGAGTCTAACCACCAACTCTTACTAGGTACTGACGCTAAATTGACTTCGAACGGACCAAAGTAGGAAACATACTTTTGAGGATCATAAGAGAATTTAAATTGACAGATATAAAAGCAATTGTAACTAAATTAATAACAAAAGAAACAAACTAATTATTTTCACATTATAAAAATAAATAATTATAAATAAATAAATAAATAAATATATATATATATATATATATATATATACATATTCAAATAATGGTTTAACCCATCTCAAGACACCCAATGCACCATCAATATCAAGTCTTTGGATAGTAATATTAACTGTTAGGGGTATCTTGTTGTAATGATCAAACATTGACAATAAAACACGTCCAACAACAAACCAGTTTTTGGATTGATTTATCATCGACAAAGCAAATCCTTATAATTATCACATGTTTATCATTACAAGTGTGTATGCAATTCGACCAAATATTAATCTTCCTTTGGACCGACTAATACTGACATGAATATACACAAATACTAACATTCAATATTTTTCACGAACTACCAATTCAAGAGAGATTACTTTGATGACTTCTTAACTCAATTTGCTCACAAAAAATATTAAACTACCATTTGAATATTTTATTTATATAACAAAATCAAATATTTAATATTTATTTATTTAAAGTTAACAATGCAAACTAATTCAAAAAATAATCACCTCATTAGAATCCCACTAAGGATGAACAATTCCCTAGAATCACACTAGGGAAGATACAAAGATAATTTTGACCCTCTTTAACACACTCAAGAAACAATACAACCACCTAAACCCTAAAAGAGGATTAAATAGTAATCACTCAAGCCTTAAACAAGGAATTTAACATCAACTTCCCTTAAACCCCCAGAGGATAAAGGCAATAAAATAAGAATAGTTACACATGTGGAAACATTCACTAGTTGCCTAAGATCCTCTGTGTTGGGAACTCCCCCAACATCACCCCCAATTCCAAACTCATCCATATCCAC